GGGAGTGTTCCAAGCAAAGAGAAGGAACATATGAGAGTTAGATACAGAACGTATATAAGGGTCATGATCTGAGGCTATAGCATTGAATAATGAAGATGAGTAGGATAAGGGAGACAATGACCATTGGGAGGTGGGATGGAAGAAGGCTCACAAAATAAACCAAATCATGACTTATTATGATATACTGACAAAAGATATACAAAGTACTATACTTGAGATTGTAGGAAACAAAAAAGAGGTGGCCAAAATCGTTCACAGGCGAGTTAGACTCCACACAAGGCAATGAATTAGAATAACGAGGAACCTTAACTAGAAAGAAATAAGCAGAATAAAACCAACCACCTGATGCAATATAATGGTAACATCATGTTTAAAAACATCAGCAGTGAACATGTTTCATTCCATGGTTCACCACAATCCTATAAAATCATGGTAATTTAATATGTCCATTATAATCCCAGCAACATGCCACAAATTGAAATCCAAGACTTGTTACATGCCAGGCATTTGTTCTACTAAGTGAGCGAAAGGTATAGCTATAGAATGTTAGCACCATGAACATATAAGGTGCTTCTGGTCAGCATTGAAAAAATGCTTGAAGGATGACTTGGCTTTGGGAATTTATGCTTATTATTTGCAACTGTTGTAAGAAGGAGCACAAAGAAGAAATGTGATGGCTAGAGTAAATGAAGTTGCAATCAGATGAATGGAATGAGAGTGCAATGAGGACAAAAATAATGTAGCACTAAATAAGGAAAGGCAGTAGACCAAAGTGACTAGAACCTCAAAAAAGCACAGAAAAAACAAGGAAAAAATGAACTTATCATCATATGCTAGTTCTCATGGGAATTACTGTACATGGAGGTATATCACCCTCTTATTGATCTCCTCTATAGCATTATGATGATTACATCATAGAATGGTGCAATACATGTAGACACATGTAGTGGTAGGAGTTTGTTCAAAGTTCATGGCATGTGTTGGAGATTCCACGGCAGTTGTGTGGAAGGTAATAGCTCTTAGTGGTGCACAGAGGAAAGTAACATTTCCAGATAGTAAATTTACTTCAATTTTCATTTAATTCTTATGATGCTTTTCAACTAAGCAAAACTTTGATGTGTCTGTATTACTTAACAATCTACAGGAATTGTTGCATGTAATAATTTGATCTGAGACATACAAAAACATCTTTAGAAAGATTAGAATACTAAAGTGTGGTTTAGATAAATTTAACTGATTTAAACTTTGGTAATTTGGTTTGCAAAGAGGTGAATGGTTTGGTCATAGTCTGAAATCCTTAAACATATTATTTATCTGACTGACCAGTTCTAGTGTTGAATAAAAGGCTTTTGTTGTAGTAGCTTGTGGCAAAGAAGATAAATCTAAAATGCTATTTTTACATGTCTCAGATTTACAATTTGTAAAGGAAGAATTAAGAGGAATATAGAAAAAAAAAACATTGTTACTTCAACTTTTTCTTTTCTACAGTAATATGCATTTTTATTTAAACATAAGAAATATAGACATTAAGCTTATAATAATATTTCAATATACAATCTACTATACTTGTACATAAGTAACAGCATATTTTAAAATGGAGTCACACTTACCATATGAACATTACATGAATGGGCTGCTAATGATTTCTGACCTGATGCACTTTTTATGTCTTTTTGACGCTGACGCTGTTTTTCAGCTTTTTTTCGCTGGCCAGTTTTCTTTTTTGGCATCTTTGTACAGGGTTTTGAAACACTTTAACTGTAATAATAGAGAAAAATAAAAATTGTAAGTGCACATTTTTAAATACCACTGAGAAAATATGACTTACAAAAATTTCAATGTAAAATTTATACTTACTCAATTTAAATGAAAATATATGTCAAGGACCGAAAGTTATGGATAACTATGATTTACATCTATACTAAACCACTTCTGACTTTCTCTTTTTACCAACTTTGATACTATGTCCTAAATTATTTATTTCTTAAACAACAGATATAGCATATGTTAATCCCTTAACCAGCAAACCCGAAATATTTCCATGATGTTGCAACTAGTCTGAAACACTGCCAATTAAGACGTTAAACAGATATACATGTACACTAATTCTCCAGTGATATGGTATATGTTTATGAAAATAATCAGATATATTTAAGTTAGAAAAAAGGTTTTACCCTAGACATACAGCATGTAATAAGAAAAACCATTTTCACTAAATATGTTTCAAACATAATGATATTTCTTATAATACAAAACCAGTCTTCACTTTTTAAACATCTGAATCATTTCCCAGAATTCTATAAGCTCTTTTTCCCACACTGAAACAGAAGAAAGCTTCAGGTTAATAACCAAATCTGTGTTTTAGATTATAATGGTGTCCTTATTGATATCCATTCAAACTGTAAACTCCATTTATGTTTAGTTTCATTAAGTAATTGCAAAATACAAGGTTAAGAGTAAAGGATCATATAGTCTGAGTGCAGATTTAATGATAACATACATGTACTAGGGCTGACATGCACACCCAGGTTTATGGTTGACATAAGTAACATGAAGCAACATCATATGTTAAACCTAGTAAGTCTGTGCTGTTGATATTACTGAATAACTTATTCAGCAGTTACCAATCAATCAATCAATCTTCGTGTCCTCGCTAATTCTGGAGGTCACCTACTATAGTTCTTTATACTGTATACCTCACTGCCTGCACCGACTTTGGCATACATACATACATACACACACACACATATATATGCAGACATATGGGTATTTACTAGGAATGTGTATCTCATCACAGCAGTCAGAATGATACATATCTATATATAGAAATTTTACCAATGGTTTGTTACAAAGTTTGGCAGTCTTATTATTGATATTACTAACATTGTCTTATTTAAGTACTTCAAAATTTACAGTACTTTTTCAAACTCTTAGGTTTAATCAACTAAAAGGTAGCTGGCAAGAGAAGTAAAATAAAAAAGTTAATATCTGTCTATCAA